CTCAATCTCTCTCTCTCTCTCTCTCAAATAAATAAATAAAACCTTTAAAAAAAACAAAAACAAAACACACAGCTCCAGGGGATACCCTTGGAGCCGTGTGCCTTTGTATATCTGTGCAAGTAGGTACATAGCAAAACTTCCAGAAGCAGAACTATATCAGGGCCCGTTTCTTACAATAAAATGTTGAAAGCAGAATGGACATTGGACATCCTAAGTCGAAAACTGCAGAGAAGTCTAGTTCCCCCAGGGGGTTGCGGGGGTGGGGGTGGGGGGAGTTGAGTAACACCCACCCACACACTGCCTGAATCAGCCAGAGAGAGGCCGGTCACAGACACTGCTCCCTTGGCCCGCCCTCAACTGTCACTTCAGGGGCCACAGGGCAGGGACCCACCTGTGGGGCTCCAACTGTCAGCCCCACCAAGTGAAATGAAATAACAACTTGGACAAAATGCACCTGAGTTACTTCCAGGGAGAGGAACAGGCTGAAAGGGGCACCTTCTATTTGCTACTTAAAAGAAGTCAATCTTGTTACATTTGTTACAGACGTGCAGGTTCCTGTGGACATGAAGCGAAGCCCTCTCACCAAAATGCTAGCCCTGGGCTCCTTCCTGCTGACGTTTACCTGCCTGCCAAGCTCTATGCAAAAAACAACAAAGGGGCACCTGGGTGGCTCAGTGGGTTAAAGCCTCTGCCTTCGGCTCAGGTCATGATCTCAGGGTCCTGGGATCGAGCCCCACATCGGGCTCTCTGCTCTGTGGGAAGCCTGCTTCCTCCTCGCTCTCTGCCTGCCTCTCTTCCTACTTGTGATCTCTGTCAAATAAATAAATAAAATCTTAAAAAAAAAAATAAACACAACAACAACAACAACATACCATCACTTCTAGTCCCAACCCATGAGGCCAGGGCCAGAGTCATCCTTGCTTCTCTGAGGATATTCGAGAAGCTTGACAGATTAAGTGATGTGCCTAAGGTCAAGCCCAGGAAGTGGTAGACCCTTAATCTTAACCACAACTGTCCAGACGGTTCACAGCTACCCCGCCTCTTCCCACTGACTCAGAGGCTCCGGGCAGGCGGGGATCTGAATCAGAAGTCCGCCCAATGTCCCTGTTCACAGGGCCCAGAGTGTGGAATTAGCCCAATGTCCCTGTTCACAGGCCCAGCACGTGGAAAGGAGAAGTGACACATCCAAGCTGACACAGGGAATGAGGGGCGGGGAGCGAGATGGTCAGCCAGGCCCCCTTCTCCGCAGCGACCGAGTACTGCTGCCAAGCACCAAGCCTTGTGTCAGGCAGCTGCAGACCCAAGAAAAGCCAAAAAGAATATGGCAGGGCAGACCCTTGCCCTCGGAAGGCTTCCATCCTGCTCCGGGGAGAATGCCAGTTAGCACGCAGCCACTGTTAGAAAGAAACCACACGATGCAGAGCTCCTCAAGGCCATTCACAGGCTCTCATCTCCTCTCACTCTCCCCAGGCAACCTCTAGTGATCCGACCACCATCACCATGGATATTATTATCTCCCCAACTCTGCTCCTCGCACCAGGGCCAGGACAGGCAGTAGCGTTCTCTTGAGGCCAGCAGCTGGTCGTGGAGGTCAGTGTATACCCTCAACAACCTCGCAGGCCAAGAATCAGAAATAAGAAGGTAAGAGACCTGCCTTACGAAATGCACTGTCATCAAAACGTGACATGAGATCAAAGAAAATATCCAGGGGAAATCCAGAAACAAATTCAAGAACGCACGAGAACGTGACGCAGGTTGAAGGCGGTGCTGTAACTTCGCAGAAAGGCGTTATTTGCCTTGTCAATTTTCCCAAAAGACAGAGCCTAAGCCCTACTTCAGACAAGAGACAAAAACTAAAACCCGGAGGGATCACATATTTTAGTGTAGAAATAAAACACAGGGGTGCCTGGGTGGTTCAGTTGGGTAAGCGTCTGCCTTTGGCTCAGGTCCTGATGCCAGGGTCCTGGGATCGAGCCCCGCTCAGGCTCCTTCCTCAGCGGGGAGCCTGCTTCTCCCTCTCCCATTGCCCCCGCTTGTGTTCTCTCTCTCTGTGTCAAATAAATAAATAAAATCAAAGAAAGAAAGAAAGAAGACACAATAGATGAAAAAGTACATCCACACAAAGATAATAATGAGACGGTTGCGAGTAGCTCTACTCGTAACTTGCCCCAAACTGGAAACAACCCACATGGCCATCAACAGGGGCGAGGATAAACAAACTGTGGTCCATCCACACAATGGGATACAACTTAGTGATAGAATGAAGGAAACAACTGATAGACACAACACAGACAAGTCTCAAACTGAGTGAGCTGAGCTAGAGAAGCTAAAGTCAAAAGACTGTACATAACGTATGATTCTGTCCATAGGACTTTCTGAAAAATATAAGGGCTATAGGATCTAAAAACAGATCAGTTGGTGCCAGGGGCTGGGTGCAGGGGCAGGGGCAGGAACTGACTACAAAGAAACATGAAGAAACTTTTGGGGGGTGCTGGAGCGTCTGAGTGGCTCAGAGGCAGAGAGAAGCCTCTGCCTTTGGCTCAGGCCATGATCTCAGGGTTCAAGTTGTGATCTCAGGGTCCTAAGATCAAGCCCCATGTTGTCATTGGGCTCTCTGCTCAGCAGGGAGTCTGCTTCTCCCTCTTGCTCTCTCTCTCTCTCTCTGCTCCTCCTCCCTCCTCATGCTCTGTCTCTGTCTCTCAAATAAATAAAATCTTTTTTTTTTTCTTTAATAGGAAGGGCCAGGCCATGCAGGACTCTGTGGGCCATGCTAGCAGTTTGGTCCTTTTTCTTTTTTAAGATTTTATTTATTTATTTGACAGAGAGATTGAGAGAGAGCACAACAAGGCAGAGCAGAAGGCAGAGGGAAACAGAGAAGCAGTCTCCCCACTGAGTAGGGATCTCAATATGAGGCTTGATCACAGGACCCTGAGATCATGACTTGAACCCTGAGATCATGGCCTGAGCCGAAGGCAGCCACTAAACCAAATGAGCCACCCAGGTGCCCCTAAATAAATAAAATCTTAAAAAAGAAAAAAAAAAAGACACCTTTTGGGAGTGATGGATACATTCACTATCTTAATTGTGGTGATGGTTTCATGGGTGGACACATATGTCAAAACATGAAATTTCATACTTTACCTGAGATTTATTTTCTGTCACTTATTATCTCAATAAAGCTGGGTAGGAAGGAAGGTAGGAGAAAGTGAGAAAGACAGAAATAGAAAATAGAAGGAGAAAGAAAAGAAACTAACAAACCTGGCAATCATGAGCAAATATGGGATTGTCCATATATACTATGGCTGAGTTGCAATACGAACTGTGTAGCTACTAAAAACAAAAGCTACTCGGATGTGTTTTGACTATTCAGGGTAATAGCAAATTTCAAGGTAACATACAGTGCGATCCCATCCACAGCGTATACAAGTTTGTATCCGCACTGAAAAAGGTCGCTAGTCAGTTCCAAGGCTAATACTGCCCCCTAGGGGTTACCTTGAAGATAGCTCAACTTAAAATACCTCTCAATAATTACTTTCCTGAACGCTCTAATGAAAACAGCTCTTATCAAGGTCACCAGTGACCAAACACTTGCAGAGTCAGAAGAGTCAATTCTCTTTCCTCATCTCAGTGAATGTCTCAACCACATGTGAGACAGCTGACCAACTCTCCCTGTTTTGAAACACCTTCTTCTGGAGGCTGCTGGAAAAGGACACCTACCTCTCCCCGCCCTACCTCATCAGTCTGCTCTGTCTCTTGCTGACACCTTTTCCTAACATCCAAGGATGGGGTGCCCCTAGTCTCCTTCTTAGCCCTCTTCTTTTGCCATACTTTGCCCCTCACTCTGAAACCAGATGACTTCCTCAGGCTCCAAGGCTTCAGATCACCTCCATAGGTGAGTGGCTCTCAAAATCACATCCAGATCCTTCCTCTGAGCCCCAGACTCCACTTCCAATGACCTGTCCCATAGCTCTTTTTGCTTGTCTCAAAAATCATGGCTAGAACACAACGCTTGATTTCTCCTCCAAATCATCTCCCTGAGAGGCAGAACCCAGGGCCTCCAGATAGTGGCTTTCATCTTTGATTCCTTTCTCTCCTTCACTCCAGAAATTTCATGTTTCTGTGTAACTCCGGCCCAGCCTTCGATTTCAGCCTGAGCGTCAGCCTCCCAGAGAAGCCTTCCCTAAGTTCTCAGGCTGGCTTGTTAGTCCCCACCACATCATATGCTTTGAGAGCCACACATTCTCCTCTGCGACAGTGCAGTACTACCCTGAAGAGTGTAGTAATTGTTTCTTTATGTCCAGCCTCTTCCCTAAGTTGTGGGATTCATAAACCCTTATTCCTTCTTCCTCCAACTCCAAAGAGGTCCCTAACATGGCCCACAACACTCCACGTGGTCTGGTCCATGTATGCCTATCCAGTCTTTTCTTACAACTTCAGCACCCAGCGTGGTCCGCGGATAGCAGCATGGACGTCACTGGCGAGCTAGTCGGAAATGCAGACTTTTAGACCGCACACCTGACCTAAAGAATCAGACCTGAACTTTAAGAAGATCCGCAGGCTCTTATTAAAGTTTGAGAAGACAGTCCGACAAGCTCCCCCGTCACCGATTCAGCCGTAATGGTATCTGCAATTCCTTAGCCCTGAGATGTTTGAATGTGTCCGCAGTTGAGGAGACCCAGGTGGGCTGCGAGGGGCTGGGGCTTGAACTGGGAGAAAAGACAAGTGAAGATGCTGCGGCCAAGGGCAAGTCAGCCTTTCCCTCGCTGGAAACTCAGCCACCGCCCCTCCCGAAACCCGTAACCAACCCTTCTGAGAACTCAGCAGAAGTGATGCTGCGCAGTACCACAGCCCGAGGCGCACGCGCCCCCGCGCAGGCGCACTGCGACCCCGCCGCCCGGCCGGGTACGCGAGTACGCGTGTGCACTGGAGGAGGCGGGGCCTGCCCGCGGGGCGGTCCTCGTCGCGGGTGAGAAGAGGAGAAGGGTTTCCGCTTCCGGCGAGAGACGGAAGTCACTGTCTCCCGGTGAACGAGGCCGTCGCAACGAGGGGAGAAGAGTGTAGGTGACTGTTCGCACCGGCGGGCGTTGGGCTTGGCGTGACTGGGCGGTCTTCTGCTTGGAGACGCACAGGGGGTCCAGGAGGAGGCGTCGAGGACCCAGGGCTTGGGGGGGGGGGGTGGCCTGCCGGGGAGCTTGGCTCCCTCGGACCCCAGCCCGTTAAGCGCGGCTGCACGGTGGCCCGGCTCCCACGGCGGCCGGCGGGAGGCGTCGCCGAAACCTCGGTGAGCTTGGACGGACCGCTCACCCGCCGCCTCGTGAGTAACGGCAGGGTTGGGGACCGATTCCTTTTCCGGGCCCCCTTGGCGCGCTTGGACTTAGGTCGCCACAGGGCAGGCTAAGGCCCCTGGAGCTTTGTGTACAGGCCAGACCCCTGTTCCGCTGTTGGGTTGGGGGTGCTGCAGATGCCGGGTAAAAGGAGATTCTGGGGGTGCATCCGTACCTTCTGATTCAAGAGACTTATTCATTCAACAAGTAGTTATTGAGCGCTTAATGCATACCAGGCACTACCCGTGCTGGGGATTCAGCGGTGGGCAAATCGTGCCTCCCACGCTGTTCCATTGGGGGCAGATCTGAGATGAGGTTCGGAAATATCCACCACCACGCCCATCCCCTCCGCCAGGTGATTCTGTTACAGATGGTACCCGGGACCGGCTTTGGGAAAACAAAACACTGCCCCTAGCAGTGGAGAAACATGGGTCAGTAGAAATGGCCACACCTTTGAGGTCTGGCTGCATTCCTCGGCTGCCCCATCTCGTACCCTTTCTCCCCATTGCTCACCGAGCTTCAGCTGTACCGATCTTTCTCTTTCTGGGAAAAGGAAAAAAAAAAAAAACTGCTTCTACCTCAGCCCTTGCAATTGCTGTTCCATCAGGTTGGACTGTTTCACGTGGTTGCTCTCTCTCATCATTCAGGCCTCGACTTAAATGACTTTTACCCAGAGGGTCCTTCCCACCCCACTCTTCCCTGAAGTAGCCCCATTCCGGAGGTATTCACGTAGCCCTGATTGATTAATCTCATAGCACTTACTGATAATTGAAATTATTTTTCTTACGACGTTGTTGAGGGTCTGTTGTCTTCTACTAGAATAGAGGTTCCATGAGAGCATGCACTTTGTCTGCCTCGAATGCAGCCTTGCTGTGGTTAGCGAAGGGCCTGGCATTGGTTCATTCATTCATTTATTCCATAAACATTGGTTGTGTGCCAGCAGTTCCAGGCTCTGGGGATACAAAGAAAAGACGGAAATCCCTGCGGCCATATAATTTGCATTTGGAAGGAGGTGGGCGGGGAAAGAGATGCAGGGAGACCAATGAGGAGGCTGTGTGTCCAGGACTCTGGACGCAGACCTTGGTCTTGGCGAGAAGGGGGCAGATTCTGGATTTCTTTTAGAGGTAGAGCGGTAAGATCAGGATGAGATAACGGGTGTGAGAGGGAGAGAAAGGAATCAAGGGTGAGTCCAAGTTTTTTGGATAGATGGATTTGCTCTCTGCTGAGATGGGGAAGACCGGAAGAGCATGCCAAAACCAAGCTGCTGGGGTGCCTGGGTGGCTTAGTGGGTTAAGCCTCTGCCTTCCACTCAGGACCTCGTCTCAGGGTCCTGGAATGGAGCCCCACATCCGGCTCTCTGCTCGGCAGGGAGCCTGCTCCCCCACCACCACCACCACCTGCCTCTCTGCCTACTTGTGATCTCTGTCAAATAAATTAAAACAAAACAAACAAAACCCAAGCTGCTGAGTTATGTTTAAATGTGTCTTAGCATCAGGTGAAGGTGTAGCCGAGGCAGTTAAACGAGCCAGTCTGCAGTTGAGAGGAGACACTGAGGATGGTGAGATCAGGAGGCATCAGTATAGAGGAGGCATTTGAAGCCCCAAGTTGGGGCAAGATCTCCACGGAGGTGAATGCAAATGAAGTAGACCCCCAAAGATTGACCTCGGGGGCTCATATACCATTAGAGACGATGGGGCTGGGGGAAGCAGCAGCAGCAGCAGAAACCGAAAAGAGCCACCAGTGAGTTCTGAGAACTGCAGGGGGAAGGGTGGGAGGAGGGAACAATGTGTTCAGTGCCCTGAGGAGGGGATGAGCAGAATGGTGGGGAGGTAGGGGGAGAATGGGAGGAAATGAATGCAGGCAGTGAGTGCAGACAGCTCTACTAGAAAAGCCCAGAGAGTGAAGAGGTGGTTGTCTTTTTGTTTAGAAAGAGTGCTCCAGCTTGTGAGCTACGGCAGGGGCAGAGGGAGAGAGAGAGAATCTCAAGCAGACTGTGTGCTGAGCGGGGAGTCCCGTGACCCTGAGTTCATAACCTGAGCTGAAATCAGGAGTTAGACGCTCAACCCACTGAACCAGTCAGGTGCCCCATAAGGTGGTTGTTTTTAAGGATGTATTTAATAACTGTGTTTGTTAATGAGCTAGAGGAGAGAGACAGTGTTGTTGGGATTCAGGGCAAAGGAGGGGAGGCAGAATGGGGGATTCCTGGGGCTTGTGGGTATTCTATATAACTACTTCTGGTCACTCAGAGAATTGGGAACACCCCAGGTTAAGAATGAGGATGGGATGTAGAGAGCGATTGCTAAATATGAGTGAAATTTATTTTTCTGTTTATCGTGGCAGGCTTCTGGCCTCTCGTGTCAGTGTGGAATAGTTAAAGCCATACAGGTTGGGGAGAAGGGGAGCAGCAAGGGGGGAGAGTGCTTTGGGAAGGCACTCCCAGGTTCAGTGATCATGGAGCCCTGAGCACAGTGTCTGGCATGGGGATGTGCTCAGTGGTCACCCCTGCTTCCAAGATGTCTGTCCCTAAATGTCCCTCTGGCACTTGACCCCATCATTTTCCCCCACATCTTGTTCTTCCTGTATGTTAGACATCAGAGAATGATGCCACCTTCTCTCCCACTCACCCTCTCCATCCCCCACCATCTTGGGAGTCATCCTGGACCCCTCCTTCTCTCGCCACACTCACTCCGCTAACGCGTCTCAGACTGAGCCACTGCCATCCCTCCTCGCTGAACAGCCCAGCCCTAGTTCCGACTTCATCCAGACCTCTGCCCGGTTCTCCTTGATGCCTTAGAAAGGCAGAGATTTCAGGGGCACCTGGGTGGCTCAGTGGGTTAAGCCTCTGCCTTCAGGTCAGGTCATGGTCTCAGGGTCCTGGGATCGAGCCCCGTGTTGGGCTCTTTGCTCAGCAGGGAACCTGCTTCCCCTCCCCACGGCCTGCCTCTCTGCCTACTTGTGATCTCTCTCTCTCTCTCCCCCTCTCTCTGTGTCAAATAAATAAAGAAAATCTTATATTAAAAAAAAAAGAGAGATTTCATCCTTCCTCTCCTCACTGCCCCCAGGTTCCATCCAAACCCCCCCACCTGCCCCTGCTCCCTCCTTACCCTGCTCCTCACCCCTGCCTGTGTTGTCCCCAAATGTTGGCCTCAGACACCTGTCCTCAGACTTGGTATGTGGCATTTCTGTATACTTGATGCTTCTCCCATCTTCTCTGCCCACCAGTTCTTTATCTGTGGAGAGCGGCCCAGGAGGTTCATCCCGAGAATCTGTCAAATGCCTTGAGTGTCATTCCTCCTGGTGCCACTTGCATGTCCCTTTGACGAGAGGAGCAGCTGCTCCTAAAATCATTGGCTTCTGAGTGCTTAGGCCCTGCCCAGCCCTGTGCAGCTGGTCGGTTGGAGTCCCTTGTGTCCTCCTCACCAGGAACAGTGGCATCCTTTGTGGGCGCCAATGATGGACGGGCCAGGTCCTGTACTTCACCATGTGTCATAGCAGCTCCACGAGACCCCTCTGAAATAGCAGCTTCATCTCTATTTTACTGACAGGAAACTGAGGCACAGAGAATTTAAGTCACCAGCCTGGGGTCACCCAGTAAGTGGAGGGCCATGATTAGAACTCAGGCTTCCTGGGCACCTGGGTGGCTCAGTGGGTTAAGCCTCTGCCTTCAGCTCAGGTCATGACCTCAGGGTCCTGGGATCGAGTCCTGAATCGGGCTCTCTGCTTGGCAGGGAGCCTGCTTCCTCCTCTCTCTCTCTGCCTGCCTCTCTGCCTACTTGTGATCTCTCTGTCAAATAAATTAAAAA